CCAAATAATAATCAAGGGTCTTGCAGTTTGGAGAGTTAGGCGGCCAGATGTAAGAGGTGGTGTGGTCGCGGAAATTGTCTGACGGTCATGATTGGGTTCTCTTGCTTGTGTGGCATGGTACAGTGTCCTGTTGCCAGACAGGGAGTCTTCCAGCAACCACCCTCTCTACCCAGGGCAGGACTACTTCCTCAATACACTTGATGCAGTGCTCCGTGTTGTGTCTGAGGCTCTGTCAGAAGATTAATAACGTCGCTAACACTAGTGATTACTCCAAACACTTTCGTAATCACCATTAGACTCATCTAACTCTTTCCGAATCCTCTGCTTTGTACTCTGATTGACACCTAAACACTCTGAAATGTTCGTATTGGAGTTTCCGGCGCAAATGCCAAGCAGTACAACATGCCGTTTCCAAATTTCTGGCGGAGTGAATTGCGTCATAGTGCTCTTTTTTCTCGCAGAGGGTGCCCAACTGACCCTACTATACTGTGCAGTCGACAAAATAAAAAAAAATCAATGCACATGCACGAAATTAAAAATATAAAATGGCGACAATTTACCTATAGAAGCCTGTCCATATATATTACCAAGATTTACGATGAATTTGATCAGTACGCTTGAACTTTTGGATAATAACTTAGACATTACATTGTACAACTTCCGGATAATATTAGGTTGGTGCAAAAATAATGTCGTTTTTGACGTTAAGTTGAACGTCAAAAACGACATTATTTTTTGCACCAACCTAATAACTTAGACATTACATTGTACAATTGTATACACAGACAAGAAGTTATTCAAAACATTTGGGGAGTTTCTGATCGGGCTTTTTTAGCACAAGGCATGAACAAAACAACAGAATTTGTCATTCTTTATTTCCTCGGAGAGTGATATTTCAAGAAGTATGCAATGTCCAGAAAGACAGGAAACTTGACGTGCGATAACTTGACAGATGAACAACTAATTAATCTTCAAATTTCTTTAAATTCCCGGTAGCCTCTTACGCATATATATATATATATATATATATATATATATATATATATATATATATATATATATAAAATTCGTAGCTAATAGAGATACAGTGCTCAATGTAAGGCAAAAATATATAGAAAATCTGAGCAAACGTCAAATATATGAAAAACATTACATAAATGTCACTACTGTCCGCGACCAGTGATATTTAAGTCCAATTTTTTTATATATTTTATATTTACTCTATTTTTGTATGTACCATATGTACCTGTTATATAGGAATGAAGTGTCGCTGCGGAAACTTGAGTTTGAACATAGATCGCCAGTGAGTAAACACAGGCGATCCCATTATTGAATTAAATGGACCACGTGATCATAGAAGAAAACGCATAAGTAGAAAGTATCTATCCTCTATACTATAAGGCTCGTCATTTCTTTTGAATCCTATATTACAATTCGGGCTGCTATTCACTATACTATTAGTGTGAGTGTTACTCGAAGGCGTCTGACCAGTATTGTCCGACGGCGTTAGTATAGTTGTATCTGCGATTACAAAGTCTCTACTACAGCGAGTATTACAAAAGTGACAACAAGTATTCATTGGCATCACAAAACTAACAATACTTACAAATGTAAAATAAGAATTATCATAAAATTAAATTAGAATAATATTATCCTATGTTTAAAACCATTTTTATAAGAGTAGAAAATGCTGGCCGTAATGAAATTGGAGTGGTACAATTTATAAGGCTTGATTACCAAACAAAGGAATGTATATTATACGTGAGTAGAAACATTTTCCCACATTTTCAGCACAATTTTAGGGGTGCGTATTATGGATGAAGGCGTATTATACATGGGGAATTACGGTACCTTATATTGATCACTCTGTCTGTAGTGTCTACAACTCTTGTATATATTGTATGATATATGCTCCGTGATTGGTTGGGCTTTTTCGTACAACCCTATATTTCAAAGCATACTTTCAGTCTACTGCAACATGGGAAGGATATCTTTTGGATACTCAACGATTCTTTTATGACAATTACTTTTTACTGCATGAGGATTGTATGTCAGTAGCATTACTGTCTGTCCGTCCACATGAAACTGATAGACGCAAACGGCAGTGACATATTTTATACTAGCTTAAATTAAGCAGGGCTAATTAGGTCTCTGGTCCAGCTTAGAAAGCAATAATGATAATTACTTTGAATTCCTCAATTCATTTCACGGAACTTCAAAACCTCATTTTAACTCTGATTCGGGCTATGAGTCCAATTCCGGCCAAAAGACCAATTTCCGCCGGAACTCTAATTCAGGCCGAAAATTTTAGTTCTTCAAATCACAAACTCAGTAGAACTACAATTGACTTCAAATGACAATTTCAAAACTCGGAACTGCGGAACTTCAAAAGTGATTTGAAGAATTTGAATTAGTGTTTTTTTTTTTTTTATTTCATTTTTATTTACACTATTTGCATTAATAGACAGGAAAAGACAATATTTATAGGGCATTGTTTTAAGCAAAAGCTAAAATAAAAACAACCGGTTTCGTCCCAGGACTTATCAAGTTTATTCATTCTGGGAATTTAAAAAAAAACGTGTAAATTAATTTTAAATTAACGAATGTAATGGAATGGGGAAAAAAATTATGAATTGCAAGAAACTAGTGTCCAATAATATTCAGACCCAGTAAGCATTCCCTCTGTTTACAAAGGGAAGGCTCACGGGATCTGATATACAAGGACTTTAGAACCTTGAAGTGAAATGTGGAGTGGGACCTAGATAAAATTATAAATCGGTCACCACTAAAATTTTCCACACATTTCCTTCTATTTATTAAATGTTCAGCAATAGCAGAACCAGAACTGTTTACATTATTCGGACTATTGTCCTCATCTTTGTCGCCATATTTATTACAAAGTTTTGGCCGTTGTCCTCAAGGACACATGGCACAGTGGATAAAGGTGTTAATTAGATCCAGTGATAGGACCCAAAGAATGAGATTTCAATACCTGGTTAAGGCGGTAGATAAGTTGGAGAAAGGAATTAACAGGAGATAATTGATAACTGACATCTATTAAACAAGCCGCATAGAACTAGAACAGTCTACCCCAGTGAGCAAAATAAATGGTTCAGTTTGACATTCCAACCACCTGAAGAAGGCCGGAGCGTACAACGGCCGAAACGTTGTAATAAATATGGCGACAAAGATGAGGACAATAGTCTGAATAATGTAAACAGTGTACATAATACCTCATCTCAGAAATATCGACAGATACTGAAGGGCCGAAACGTTGTAATAAATATGGCGACAAAGATGAGGACAATAGTCTGAATAATGTAGTGTACATGATACCTCATTTCAGAAATATAGACAGATTCATTTTTATTATGTCACGAAACCTCTTACTTTAGCTCTTATTCCTTGGCGTTTTGAAAAAATAAAATTGATTTCTTCAATTCAAAAGATTTTAAATTCCCAAACTTTTTGTGTTACTTTAAACTCAATATAAATTAAAAACTTAAAAAAAATTAAATTAAAAAAAAAAAAACACTAACTTTTTTCAGTTATTTTAAATTTGAATTTTGACTGTTCCCTCCTAATCCGGACACAAATCTTAATACTGGATGTTTCTAAGCACCAGATGAAGGGAGCATCATGATTCTAAAAAGGTATAATATATCTATGTAAAGCAAATGTGGCCTGAGTTAGAGGGGTCTCAGGTACACGGACAGACAGAATTTGCTGTTTATTTATTTAGATGTATATAAGGGTGTGCAAAAGTAGGCATACAGTAATGAAAAAACAAAACGTGTTGCAGATTATGCAAAAATGTCTGTACTGGTATAATGCTTAATGTATACCTACTTTTGTAGACACATATAAAGAGTTTTGTTATATTCAACTAACAAGTTCTATTTAATTTTTAAAACGTTCACCAAGATCGATACAATGGTGCCAGTGGCAGACTGTCTGTCAATCACAGCACAGTTCAGAGGAAATATAACCCCAGGAGTATCAACATGAACAGTTTACAATCATTTACTTGCAACCTGATTATTTTCACACGAAACCACTCCTCGACGTTTTACTTACACTACAAGACCATCGTGCGCATTTCTAATGACATTGTGAAAGAGTCACCTGGAGAATTGAGTGGCATTCTACAGAGTTCAGGGATGGAAGCTGTTTCTAAATTCATTTAAGTGATGGCCGTTTAGGTGTAACGTAAACTTTAAGGAGAGACTTTCACAATGAATTCGCCCACCACACACACAGGTCCAGCAACTGGTATTATAACGACAAATATTTAGAAGGTTTATTCACGTCTACTGCATATCCGATGATGGCTGGCGAGGCCCCAGCGAAAGAATAAAGAATTCCAGTCTTACAAGGAGTAATGGATAGCGGCTCGGATTGAGAAATCGGAGAGCCGAGTTCGAATTCGATTCGAATCCATTACATTCACTTACGTGCTAATACCCTTAAGAAAGGTATGAATCCTCTTCTTCTCCCTCCAGCTATGGGTAAATAGGAAGACAGACCTGGTTCTGTAGCCTTGGATGGTAACTGATCTACCGCAGAAAGAAATGGAAACCTACTGCAGGGAAAAATCTGCTTCGTCAGTCATATATCGAAAGATACATGATCGCCTAAGCGTGTATCATGCATGGCACATAACTGACTGAGTATTATAACATTGTTTTTTACCGCTCTAGTTCTGAAATTCGCGATTAGATAGGATGATTTCACCTTAGCACGTTTCTCGTTCGGCAGCTCCTATTGTCCGTTAATTGATTCTACAAAATACGATTTTATTTATTGTATTTTATCAGTAGTTATAAACTCTTCATTTAGCTGAATAAGATCGTTTTTGATATTCCTCCAACTTCTACCTGGCCTGATCAAAGCATATTAATCTTTTTGTAGCATTGGCTATAGTGAAAAACCTTTTTGACTGCCACGTCAAGAGTCTCGTATTCCACCATGGCCTTAGGGGTACCAGGTGTATTGTAGCCATGGCAGAAGTGATTTGTGTAGCGCAAGATAATCTGTGAGTCTTTTCCGGGTGGTTTTCTTTCTCCTGGATAGTTTGTCACCTAAAGCTACGAGAGTCCAATCAACCCTTGTTGTTTAACCCTTAACTGGAGGAGAAGTGATGGATGCATACCAATACCAAGAATATTTGTGAGAAAGTGAACGCAATGAATTTGGCCAGAATTCGAACTCGTTTCGGCGATTTCTCTTAGCGATTCGTTAACAGTTACACTACCCTACACTAAATTGGCCTTCTTTTAATTCGATTAACATTTGAACTGGTTTTATTTACATTTGGTATGCTTCAAATGTGAAACGTGAACACTCTTGGAAAAACAGAAGGATCCAGGCGTTTGAGAAGAAATGCACAAGAAAACTCCTTGACATTTTCTATTAGGAACATAAAACTCAATGAGTCTGTGTCGGAAAAGGGTTGAAAGTTTTGTAGTCCACCAGGAACGTCTTCTCGCCACTGTCAAACAGAGAAAAATGGTGTGTTTTGGACACATTACAAGGCACAACAGCGTGTGCCAGACCATCATGACAGGCACCGTAGAAGGTGGACGTGGAAGAGGATGACAACGTAAAAACTGGTTGGACAATGTCAAATGGACAGGTATGACTATACCAGAATTGCTGTTAGCTTCCGTTGATAGGTCATTGTGGAGGAGATTTAGTGTGGCTTCTGCATTCAGATCCCCCCCGCTACGATTACAAAAGTTAAGGGATGATGATGATGATGATGATGATAACGCTTCAAAGTCATTGTCGATTTGCAAGTGGTTAAGAAATGTTGGTGGCGGTGTTCAGTTGCTGTGAGATTTAATTCTCTGGCGATAAGGAAAAGATTAACCCAACTTCGATATGAGGAACAGGAAAAAGACATTGGTCCTGAATTTATTCTTTAGTTGAATTATCTTTTTTTTCCTTTTCTTTGTAGAAATGATATCTTTGAATCCATCTTCTTTCTCCCCCGCTTTCTTCATCTCTGTTATACTATTTTTTGCCTCTATTTGTTTTCTTTTTCATCTCTGCTTTTTTATCAGCCTTTTTTTTTTGTCGGCTACCCCTCTTTTTTGTTTCCTTGTTTATACTCCCCTATTTCTTTTCTTTTCCTTTCTTTTCGCTCTTGTTCCTTTCCCCTCTTTCATTTCTATCAGCATTTTTACTCTTTACAGAATTGTAACCCCCCTTTTTCATGTTCCTTGTTTATACTCCCCTATTTCTTTTTTTCCTCTCTTCACCTCGCTCTTGTTCCTTTCCCTCTTTCATTTCTATCAGCCTTTTTACTCTTTACAGAAGTGTCATTACCCCCACTTTTTCATGTTCCTTGTTTATACTCCCCTATTTCTTTTCTTTTCCTCTTCCTTCACCTCGCTCTTGTTCCTTTCCCCTCTTTTCATTTCTATCAGCCTTTTACTCTTTACAGAAGTGTCACTACCCCACTTTTTTCATGTTCTTGTTTATACTCCCCCTATTTCTTTTCTTTTCCTCTTCCTTCACCTCGCTCTTGTTCCTTTCCCCCTTTCCTATCAGCCTTTTCTTTCATTTCTTTTTCATGTTCCTTGTTTATACTCCCCTATTTCTTTTCTTTTCCTCTTCCTTCACCTCGCTCTTGTTCCTTTCCCCCCCTCTTTACACTTTTTTCATGTTCCTTGTTTATACTCCCCTATTTCTTTTTCTTTTCCTCTTCCTTCACCTCGCTCTTGTTCCTTTCCCTCTTTCATTTCTATCAGCCTTTTACTCTTTACAGAAGTGTCATTACCCCTACTTTTCATGTCCCTTTTGTTTATACTCCCCTATTTCTTTTCTTTTCCTCTTCCTTCACCTCGCTCTTGTTCCTTTCCCTTTCATTTCTATCAGCCTTTTACTCTTTACAGAAGTGTTACTTTTTCCCCTTCCTTACCTCGCTCTTGTTCCTTTCCCTCTTTCATTTCTATCAGCCTTTTACTCTTTTTTACAGAAGTGTCATTACCCCTACTTTTTTTCATGTTCCTTGTTTATACTCCCCCCTATTTCTTTTCTTTTCCTCTTCCCTTCACCTCGCTCTTGTTCCTTTCCCCTCTTTCATTTCTATCAGCCTTTTACTCTTTACAGAAGTGTCATTACCCCCCACTTTTTCATGTTCCTTGTTTATACTCCCCCTATTTCTTTTCTTTTCCTCTTCCTTCACCTCGCTCTTGTTCCTTTCCCCTCTTTCATTTCTATCAGCCTTTTACTCTTTACAGAAGTGTCATTACCCCCTACTTTTTCATGTTCCTTGTTTATACTCCCCCTATTTCTTTTCTTTTCCTCTTCCTTCACCTCGCTCTTGTTCCTTTCCCCTCTTTCATTTCTATCAGCCTTTTACTCTTTACAGAAGTGTCATTACCCCCTACTTTTTCATGTTCCTTGTTTATACTCCCCCTATTTCTTTTCTTTTCCTCTTCCTTCACCTCGCTCTTTTCCTTTCATTTCTATCAGCCTTTTTCTTTTACAGAAGTTCCCCTCTTTTTCATATGTTCCTTGTTTATACTCCCCCCTATTTCTTTTCTTTTCCTCTTCCTTCACCTCGCTCTTGTTCCTTTCCCTCTTTCATTTCTATCCTTTTACAGAAGTGTCACTACCCTACTTTTTCATGTTCCTTGTTTATACTCCCCTATTTCTTTTCTTTTCCTCTTCCTTCACCTCGCTCTTGTTTCCTTTTCCCTCTTTCATTTCTATCAGCCTTTTACTCTTTACAGAAGTGTCCCCCTACTTTTTCATATTTCTTGTTTATACTCCCCTATTTCTTTTTCTTTTCCTCTTCCTTTCCTCTTGTTCCTTTCCCCTCTTTCATTTCTATCAGCCTTTACCTCTTTAACAGAATTGTCATTACCCCCTACTTTTCATGTTCCTTGTTTATACTCCCCTATTTCTTTTTTTTCTCTCTTCCTTCACCTCGCTCTTGTTCCTTTCCCTCTTTCATTTCTATCAGCCTTTTACTCTTTACAGAAGTGTCATTACCCCACTTTTTCATGTTCCTTGTTTATACTCCCCCCTTTTCTTTTCTTCCTTCTCGCTCTTGTTCCTTCACCTCGCTCTTTTTGTTCCTTGTTTTTCCCCTATTTCTTTCTTTTTCCTCTTCCTTATCAGCTTTCATTTTATCACCTTTTTACTCTTTACAGAAGTGTCACTACCCCCCACTTTTCATGTTCCTTGTTTACCCCTATTTCTTTTTCTTTCCTCTTTTCTCCTCGGTTCCTTTTCCCTCTTTCATTTCTATGTTTTACTCTTTACAGAAGTGTCACTACCCCCACTTTTTCCTTTGTTTATACCCCCTATTTCTTTTCTTTTCTCTTCCTCACCTCGCTCTTGTTCCTTTCCCCTTTCATTTCTATCAGCCTTTTACTCTTTACAGAAGTGTCATTACCCCCTACTTTTTCATGTTCCTTGTTTATACTCCCCTATTTCTTTTCTTTTCCTCTTCCTTCACCTCGCTCTTGTTCCTTTCCCTCTTTCATTTCTATCAGCCTTTTTCTTTTTAGAATTGTCATTTACACTTTTTCATGTTCCTTGTTTATACCCCCTATTTTTTTTTTTTTTCATGTTCCTTTGTTTGTTCCTTTCCCCCTTTATTTTTCAGCCTTTTCTTTTCCTCTTCCTTCCTTGTTTATACCCCCCCTTTTTCTTTCGCTCGCTCTTGTTCCTTTCCCCTCTTTCATTTCTATCAGCCTTTTTACTCTTTACAGAAGTGTCTTTTTACCCCCTTGTTTTACTCATTTTTTTCATGTTCCTTGTTTATACTTTCCCCTTTTCATTTCCTTTTTCTTTTCCTCTTCCTTCACCTCATGCTCTTGTTCCTTTCCCTCTTTCATTTCTATCAGCCTTTTACTCTTTACAGAAGTGTCATTACCCCCTACTTTTTCATGTTCCTTGTTTATACTCCCCCTATTTCTTTTCTTTTCCTCTTCCTTCACCTCGCTCTTGTTCCTTTCTCTTTCATTTCTATCAGCCCTTTACAGAAGTGTTTACCCCTACTTTTTTTCATGTTCCTTGTTTATATCCCCCTATTTCCTTTTCCTCTTTTCACAGAAGCTCTTGTTCCTTTCCCCTCTTTCATTTCTATCAGCCTTTTACTCTTTACAGAAGTGTTTTACTTTTCATGTTCCTTGTTTATACTCCCCCTATTTCTTTTCTTTTTCTTTTCCTTTCTTTTTCTTTCCTTCACCATGTTCGCTCTTGTTCTTGTTCCTTTCCCCTCTTTCATTTCTATCAGCCTTTTACTCTTTACAAGTGTCATTTACCCTTGTTTATACTCCCCCTACTCTTCCTTCACCTCGCTCTTGTTCCTTTCCCTCTTTCATTTCTATCAGCCTTTTACTCTTTACAGAAGTGTCATTACCCCCCTTTTTCATGTTCCTTTATCTTTTTCTTTTCTTTTCCTCTTCCTTCACCTCGCTCTTGTTCCTTTCCCTCTTTCATTTCTATCAGCCTTTTACTTTTTACAGAAGTGTCATTACCCCCTACTTTTCATGTTCCTTGTTTTATACTCCCCTATTTCTTTTCTTTTTCCTCTTCTTCACCTCGCTCTTGTTCCTTTCCCCCTTTCATTTTATCAGCCTTTTTACTCTTTTTGTCGTACCCCCTACTTTTTCATGTTTTATACTCCCCCTATTTCTTTTCTTTTCCTCTTCCTTCACCTCGCTCTTGTTCCTTTCCCTCTTTCATTTCTATCAGCCCCTCTTTACAGAAGTGTCATTACCCCCTACTTTTTCATGTTCCTTGTTTATACTCCCCCTATTTCTTTTCTTTTCCTCTTCCTTCACCTCGCTCTTGTTCCTTTCCCCTCTTTCATTTCTATCAGCCTTTTACTCTTTACAGAAGTGTCATTACCCCTTTTTTTCATGTTTCCTTGTTTTTCCCCATTTTCTTCCTTCCTGTTTGTTCCTTTCCCCTCTTTCATTTCTATCAGCCTTTTACTCTTTACAGAAGTGTCATTACCCCACTTTTTTCATGTTCCTTGTTTATACTCCTAATTTCTTTTCCTCTTCCTTCACCTCGCTCTTGTTCCTTCCCCTCTTTTCATTTCTATCAGCCTTTTTACTCTTTACAGAAGTGTCATTTACCCCTACTTTTTCATGTTCCTTGTTTATACTCCCCTATTTCTTTTCTTTTCCTCTTCCTTCACCCCTCGCTCTTGTTCCTTTCCCTCTTTCATTTCTATCAGCCTTTTACTCTTTACAGAAGTGTCATTACCCCCCTACTTTTTCATTCATTCCTTGTTTTCCCCTATTTCTTTTCTTTTTCCTTTCCTTCACCCCCCATTTCTTTCATTTCTTTTTTTCTCTGTTCCTTTTTTTTCCTCCCCTATTTCTTTCTTTTTTTTCTATCTTGTTCCTTTTTTCATTACCCCCTTTTTTTCATGTTCCTTGTTTATACTCCCCTATTTCTTTTTCTTTCCTCTTCCTTCACCTCGCTCTTGTTCCTTTCCCCTCTTTCATTTCTATCAGCCTTTTACTCTTACAGAAGTGTCATTACCCCCCCACTTTTTCATGTTCCTTGTTTATACACCCCCTATTTCTTTTCTTTTCCTCTTCCTTCTCCTCACTCTTGTTCCTTTCCTCTCTTTCATTTTTCTCGGCCATCTGCTCTCTAGAAAAATTACTTTGCTCCTTTCTCTTCATTTTTTTTATACTTCATCTTTATTTACTCTTTTTCCTCTTTCTTCACCTTATTGTCGACCGCTTCGTTTTTCTAGGTCTTCTACCCTCCACAAAAATCTACCTTCTTTCCTCTGTCTTCATTTTCTTAGATTACTTTTTATTTTAAACTTTTTTTTTACTATTCCTTTCCTTTCTCCCTTTTTATCTTCTTGAATCATCTTTTTTACGTCATTTTTGTTAACTTCTTTCTCTCTCTCCCCCACCCCGTTTCGTTCCTTCTTCTTGCATTTCCTTTTCTTTCCCTCTTCTCTTTCCTTTTCTTTATCCTTCACTTTCTTCGCTCCTCCTCACTATCATCATTATTATCTTCTTTCGACTTTTCTGTTTCTTCTCACTACCCACGTCATCGTCTCTTTGTTCCTCACTATATTTTCGTTTCCTTTTTTTGTCTCATCTTCCATTTCCATTTTCTTTTTCTTCTTCTTCTTCTCACCACCTCCATTGTCTTATCCCATTCTATGTTCCCTTTTCCTCCTCTTCGTCTTCATTCTTCTCTTTTTACTAAGATGACTAGACGTAATACAGTTTCGTTTCTTTCATTCTCATATTACTTCATGTTCACTCTTATTCATCATAATGTTCGTCTACCGCTTCTATCTTCTCCTCCAACACTTTAATTAGTATTTTCACTTTCCATTTATATCAACTTCTCTTTCGCCTGCCTTTTCTTCTTTTCATTTCTCTTTTAATTCATCATCTCTCTAACGTCTTTTTCATCTTCCCCCATCATCTGGCGAGCGTTCATTTTCTATATCCTTTCCAAACGTTTCTTATCTGCTCTTTATACTAACCATATTCCTACACCTTCTATCACATCCAACCGGCTATTTCTCCTGTTTTTGTATTGAAAGTCCCGGGGCATCATATCCCGAGCCGTTCACTCTTTTCACATTGACAAGCCTAACAAGTTCCCCTGCGAAACCAGTCCTCAAAGCATGCTACAGGCGCACACACGTATCGCACAGCTGTGTGCACCGAAGAAGGTTAATCAAACATGGCATTACTGCAAAATTGTTCTTTGCTGCGTCTCAACATCTCAGAGCAAAAGAGATAACTGAATTTTCTTTCAGTCGCTTCCCACGTCGAAGCAGTGAGTGAGCTTCAATAAAACGAATAAATGGAGCAGTGGAAATTTTCTTATCATAATAACCGCACCAGAATTATACCAAATTTCAATAAGACAGAAGCCTTTAAAAATGCAGTCTTCATGTGTAGTCATCAATTCAGTGTCCCTGTCTCAAATAGGTGCTCATCAATATGGCTTTACACTCAATATCTCTCTCCATTCATTATATATATATATATATATATATATATATATATAAATAAATAAAATCAAATAACAAGAAGGGTATTAAAATTTCACAGTCTCTAAAAATAGATGTATATCCACAATCACCAGACCACAAAGCCATATTTCGACCAACCAATCAGAAATTTTACGAGTGACTTTCGCTGGATTTTGCAATTAATCTCAATTAATCCCAGACTTATTTCCAAGTTATAACAATTGTTATCGTAGAAAAAAAATCGTCGCAAAAAATCACATAAAATCGATGAAAACAATCGCAGTAATGAAAAATTGGGAATCGAAAATTTCAGGATTGCGGGTTCGGATTTTTAATTTGTTCATAGTGTAGGCATGATTCCAAAATGGTATGATCTGTTGGGCTATGGCATATAGAAGTAAAATTGAAAAAGTGTGACACAGTGACACATTGACATTTATTTATATAGAGATATACATATGTTTCCCATTTTCGAATAAGATGTTGTGTATAGAGATCAAAATTGTAGATAAACTGTCCGACTGAAGTTTATGTTTGTGTTGTTTTTGGCTTAAGTATTTTCAGCCGTTTCAGTCATTTTCAAGAACCAATGTAGTTTTCGCGTGGTAAGTGATTAAGAAGAACCGATAAGAACATTTATTTAATATCATACTTATTATAAAACCCAGGTTGTGTGTGTGTCTGTGTCTGTTCGTTTATATATTGGATCGGATTTACTATATTTTTTAACCGATTTCAACAAAACTTCACAGGACTACGTAAAATTACCTTGCGGTGGTTCTGACAGCGCCCCAAATTGGAAAAACACAATTGTTTTGCACGAAATCAATTTGAAAACACGATTAAGAGGCATCCCATATTTAAAGGAACCCACACACACAAACAACCGGATGTGAGTTGTCCCCCTTCCATTTTCACGATGTCTCTTAATCGTGTTTTCAAACGGATTTTGTGCAAAAACAATTATATTTTTCCCATTTTTGGCGCTGTTAGAACCACCACAAGGTAATTTTATGTAGTCCTGTGAAGTTTTATTGAAATCGGTTGAAAAATGTAGGAAATCCGATCCAATATATAAACGTAACAGGCACACACACACACAATCTGCGTTTTATAATAAGTAAGATAATAATGGGTGGGGATACAAAAGGAAGAATAAACCATTCTTCTCTAGCTCTCTCCCGTTATAAATGTTTTTTTCTAAGAATAGACGATTACTAAAACAATGTGATAACAATAAAATAAATGTCTATAAAATGTCAATGTAGCTAGAAAATTAAATTAATCGGTGATTTATTTTTTTGTTTGTTTGTTACTTCTTTTTTTTTTTTTTTTTTACTTTTGCCTTCTCATCAAATGCTTCCCTTCCCGCTCTTTTTATTGAGTCGCCATCGATATTGGCTTCATTTCTAATCCACTGCGTTGTTTTAGAATGATAATTAAGCCAGCAAGGATGTCTTTATTAAAACATCTTTTTACAGGCGACTTCCAAAAAAGAAAAGAAAAGAAAACCTCACGTAAGACGAAAAACAACAAAAAAAATAGCAAACAGCTTCGTCATTAACTTTAGTCTTTGACTTGCAATCGAGACAGTCTTCACTATAAATGGAAAATAATACAAAAAAGCAAATAAAAAGATAAATGAGATTGTTTAATTAAATTAATTACATAAGCTCTTTCTATAAAAGCATTGTTATCGTGTTTATCAGGTTGAATCATAAATGATTTCCGTTTCGTTTATCATCAACTATATTCTTAAAAAAAAATACAATTACATTTTTTTAAATAATTTCACCCCCCGAGAAGGCAGTAAAGACTCAAAAATACAGGGGGTTTCTGGGTGTGGAAAAATTAGAAAACAGAAACATTACTAAATGCGAGAACGATAAAAGAGTAATCAGGACGAAAGTAGATAGCGACTGATATTGCATTTACATTTTTGAAGACCAAAGTTAGCTGGAAAGCATGGAGCTGGAAAAATAAATGTTCCACAAGCGAGAAGTGCTAGAAAAGGAACTGTTAGCATAGAATTTACGGTTACATCTAGCCAATTCAACTGTGAATTGATGTGATCTTACCGACAATCTAGTTTTGCGCTTAAATTCATAAAGTCAAGTTACCATAGCGAAGAGCTCATCAGAACAATTAAAATTTATATAATTTTTTTTTTCTTGCTTTGAATTCAAAACGGTGAAGACGACAAGACAACGGGAAACTGAAATGTCTTGACAATGCGCGGATAATGTAAGAAATAGTCTATATAATGAGTCAGGACGACCTACGCTTAATCGGCCGAGGACTACAAACATTTATTAATGTTTCCAGAATTAAAACTTCCAGTGGATAAAGACGTTGGTTAGATCCAGTGACTAGACCCAAAGAGTTATGAGTTCAATACCAGGCCACAGCAGTGATGTACCAAATGTGGAGAGTTGATTTAAGGGGATATAACTGAGACACCCGGAAGAGGCATGGCACGTGGAACTAGAACAGTATACCCCGGTGGACGAAATAAAGGGTTCGGTTCGAAATTCCAATCACCCGGAGAAGGTCGGAGCGTACAACGGCCGAAACGTTGTGAATATGGCAATGTAGATGAGGATAACAGACCGAATAATATAAACAATGTAAATAATCATAATACCTCATCTCAGAGATATAGACAGATATTAAAACTTCATACTCTCTATCTACTAGACATTCTTGAACTAGCTTGGCGTAACTGTTTGTTCTATTCTAATAATTTCTTTTCTCGCCTCTCTTCATTTTCTTGCTTCCCTGCCGCCTTCTTTATACACCGTGTCCCCTGAGGACGTAGGCGATAACGGTACCCCACAACGCCCTATCCTTTGTAACTCTTAATAGATTTTGTCTATTAATTTCCCTTAAACCCTGTTTCGCCATCCATTTACTCAAGCTCACTAAATATATTATGCTCCGTTTTCCTCTGTTCTTTTTGCCTTCAATCTACCCTGTGAGTATCAGATTTTCCAAGCTCTCTTTCTTTACTATATGCCCTAGAAACCTCAACTGTCTATTCCTGATGTTGAGTATAAGTTCACTTTTTGTTCCGTTTTCTCTAAAATTTCATCTTTGCGCACATGTTTGGTCTACGGTATCCTCAGCATCCTTCTGTAGAACTGCATTTCATCTTTGAGGATATTGTCCAGCACTCACCGCCATATAGGAGGACAGATATCACGTAACAGTTCAGTATTCTTTTCTTTGTTTATAGCTAATTGTTTTCTAGTACTCTGCTTAACTTTTGGAAGGCACCTTTAGCCAGACCATCTGCAATATTCAAAAATTTAAATACAATGCCAGTCGCTATCTTCTATATTCCTGAATCCAATTTCTTTGTCCTTTCTCCTGAGTTAGTCTTCCCATTCTCTTTCATTCCCTATAACCCCCTTACGTCCTAGTGGCTTTATTGCCTTGCTTTGGGTGATAATGATTTTTTTTTTAAAATGGGTTTGAAGGAAATGCAATGAAGAAAAATATGCATATTTACAAGCACTTACAAATTAAAAATTTGAAACGCCAGGGTTGTTTTGAAGTTCGGCGCTATTAAACTCTCTCCGGCATGTTTTTTCCCCGCGACAACGGATAGAGTTCCGTGGCAATCTGATGCCAGACGATGAAAAAAGGCGAATCACCAAACCTTTGAGCTCACATAAATTCCGTCAGGTATTCAGAAAATGGCCTTAAATTTAACCTTGGCACGCTGCCACATTGCTTCAACTCGATTCGTGGTGACTCCAGTGTTGGGATCCACAAAGTTTTGAGTGTAGTTGACAGTGCCATGAGGCGTGCGAAAGTGTAATAGCGCCCAAAGTTCTACTGTTGATATCCTTACTGTAGCTTCCCGGTTTCACACTCTAAACACGGCGCAATTGTTAGCTCTCCGTGGTGTTTTATTTATAGTTATCTGCAGTTTTCACAACTTATGTGTGAATTTCTAACTTTGTTTTTTTTTTTTATATCTGTCTATATTGTTTTTTTATCTTCTTTATTAAGTGTTATTGCTTGTTATAGACATTCCATATACAGTGAAACCCGGATATAAGAGATCCGGATATAAGAGAAACCCGGATATAAGAGAAATTTTCTCTGGTCCCAAATTAGAGCCCATACTTACCTAAAAAAAATAGACCAAACCCGGATATAAGAGAAACCCGGATATAAGAGACTTCTTCTCCGGTCCCGACAACTCTCTTATATCCGGGTTACACTTTATGTTTTTAGGCACTGGTAACTTGTTGCAACGTTTTTTTTTGTTGTTTTTGTTTCTTTTGGTTTTTTTTTGTTTCTTTTTTTTTGTTTTTTTGTTTTTGTTTTTTTTGGGTTTTTTTTTTTTGTTTTTTTACAAAAAAAGATACTAAGCAATATATGAGTGGTATAATGGTTATCGTTGTGTAAAATGTAATTGGTGTTCTGAGATGAAGCTCGTCTGTTGCGTTCACTGTTTTAGGGAAAGGCATGAACCTATCTCTCCTCCAGCTATCTGTGGGTTGAATAAGAATGGACTTGGATCTCTAGTCTTGGTAGAAAGCAAGTCTAAGAAAGGGATAATTTTGAATCTCATACCGTTGAGAATACAGTAAAAACACTCCACCCACAATCTATATACAGACAATAAAGAAAAGTGTAGTTCTGATCCCCTACGTCTGGAAGGAACATGACTTACAAATGTCTGACGTGTATTCTAATTTCTTTTATTAGAAATTAGTTTTTCATCTCCTTTAACAGAAAAAAAAAGATTTACACTTAACATCAGAAAGCGACATTTGAAATTTCTATAATAAGGAAAGACAGCTTAGGATATCAGATTGAAGGCATGAGAGGGAGAGATGAAAACATTGCATAACATACTTAGTGAGCTTGATTAAATGGATGGCGGAATAAGGTTTGAGAAAATAATAAAAAGACAAAATTTATTAAGAGCTTTGCCGTTTTTCCATGCGATCAAAACGGAATAGTTCATTATTTATGAGGTATTGACAGGAGAGGGTAAACATTCATTTCATTTTTTTCTTTTTTCCTTTCTTTTTTCCTTTCTTTTTTCTTTCTTCTTTGTTTCGTTTTTTTTTCGTTTTCTTTCTTTTTCTCTTTTTCTGTTTCTCTTTCTTTTTCTCTCTCTTTTTCTGTTTCTCTTTCTTTTTCTCTTTCTTTTTCTCTTTCTTTTTCTCTTTCTTTTTCTCTTTCTTTTTCTCTTTCTCTCTCTCTCTCTCTGTCTTTCTTTTTCTCTCTCTTTCTGTTTTTCTGTTTCTTTTTCTTTCTGTTTCTTTTTCTTTCTTTCTCTTTTTTTCTTTCCTTTTATTCATTCATTCATTCATTCATTCAGAACGAATAGCGTCTCTGATACATCTTTTCATGCGGTCAAAATGGAATAGTTCATCATTTACGAGGTTTTTACAGGGCGTAACGGTCGTGAAAACGAAGGCATGGACAAGCAGAATTATAATAAGACACTGTGTGCCAATTGGGTTAGAGTTTGTTTTCTTGTCTTTTATTGTACAGCTAAGAAATTAAGCAACAAGCTTGGCTTGATCAAAATAGGCGGTAAAACTTGGAAAGGCCTTTATGGCGACCACAATTACTCTATCAACTACTGTAAATGACTACTAAATTATCTCTCGGTCGACCAACGTACTTCTCTGTCTACCGAGAACAGCTTACTTATACCTTTCTTTAGTTTATCTAGATTTGTTCATTATGTATGTTCATTGAAAAGAAAACTCCGTTTCAGAAGATGGCTATTCCGTGGCCTCGGGTCACTTTTCTCTTTCATTAAATTAACTTCTTTTGCAAGAGAAGCCAAGCAGCCCGACAAGGCGTCTAATTGGACGGCATGTAACAAAAGGAAGAGAGCGTTAGGGAAGCAAGAATGGGATCAGTACAAGAGAAAATTAAGAAAGAGAGGAGCAAAGAAAAGAAAGAAAAAAGAACAAGTCGGTGGGTATGGAGAAGAATGCTAAAGATAGATAGAGAGGAAGGATAATATATCAAGAACCAAAGGAGGGAGAAAAAGAAGTAGAAATATAAGGGATTAAGGAAAAAGAGAAAGATAGGCACAGAAAGAAAGAAAGTAAGGATGGCTTGAAAGAGACAGATAAAAAGAATAGAACAAACAGGGAATTGGGACAGAAAGACGTGACAGAAGAGAGATGGAAGAAAAAAGCAAAAGAGAAAGTTGGGCAACGAAAGAGGGGAGTTCAAACGAACGAGTGGAAAAGGAAAAGGGGTTGGAGAACGGAAAAACGAAATAAAAATAAGAAAGAAAGATTTAAAAAATGATTATTATTATTATTATTACACCCAAAGCAAGGAGATAAAGACTCTAAGACGCAAGGGGTTACTGAGGGAAAGAATCTGAGAAAAACATAATTAAAGAGAAAAGGCAATAAAAGAACAGGATTCAAGGAGACAGAAAATTACATTTGACGTGGTATTAAAAAAAAATACGGTAATAGGTGTTTTTGCCGGGTATACCTTTATAAGAAACCCGTTTTACGTAGTACGAGGCGTGTTCGAGTTGCCGCAGCTATAACAGCAAATCCGATTCGAGGCCTACAGGCGGGCGTACACGACGACCCTCATTTTATGAAATCAACACCGCACCTAATGCAAATTTATTAACACCTGGGACTTACTATATAAGCGACTACATTGCTTGCTAGCGAGGACAGGGAACTCTAAAGATGACGCTGGTGATTTTTAATACCGTTGAGAAAGGGTAAATAAGGCATAGGCAGAAGACCCTTCACAAGCTATTTCGGCATTTGAGATGGACGGCGATTTCGATCTGAGGCTGATTCCACTGTTTGACGGTACTGGATCGGTGGAATGAATGGAAAAATGCGGAACCCGTCTGTAGAGTGAGAAACGTGAAGCAGCGAGAACACGTCATTCTCTTGGGGGCGCGTTGGCCGTCTATTAGCAATTGAGAGACAAGGAGAAGGCGTAAGCAGATAAAATAGAGAGAGCCTTATATGCGGCCTTCGCGATGAACGAGTTCGAAGAATATGAGCAATTCACAGCGCGCCGTATGCAACTTGACGAATCTGTAGACGTTTATCTGACACAGCTACGAAAGCTCACAGTGTTGTTTGGTGCGGTGAGCGACCGCACACTCGGGTGCGTGTTTGTGTCTGGACTACCAGCCCAGGTCAAGCAACTACTTCGCGTGTCGTCGAGAATGAACATGCTGTTCATTGACCAGTTGCTAGCACGAGCCCGGGCGATCCTAAAGGACAACACGCTAGAACCAACAGCGATTTGGCAGCAGCAACAACACACGCGACACGGACAAAACGTCTTGACATCACCCGTTGGTCCCTGTACCGACGTTACATGCAACGCCTGTAATGGACCGAACCACCTGGCACGAGAATAGCTCAGCCCTCAAACGACTACCAGTACTCCAACTGCTAACCGATTCAGCATGTGTGCACCGGTGGATCTCTGACACTCTGACCAGGAGGGCGAACGAAAGTGCGCACCAAAGTGGCCACAGAGATGCTAATAAGATGTCGGCTCAGCACTCTGGAGGGGCTTCCCAAAGAATATGACCTAACCATCGACGTGGCTTTGGTCAAGTATAGTGAAAACCGGGCCGATCCACTCACCAGGTTATGGCAGCAATGGCTCGACGCAATACGAAAGGTAGCAGAGCCCACACAGCCGGCGTGCGCCGCAGCCGTTGATGATTTTGCTCAGATCAGCAAAGTGGTCATCCTGGCAATATCCGAGGCTGTGGTTAAGGAAGTGGTGGGACAATGTGAAGTGTGTCAGTCCATAGACCCGGCTCCTTGTTTCAGTAGAAGGCTGGTCAGCTAGATGTAACAGACACTTGGTACCGAGTAGGAATTGACGTGACACATCTTGACAACAGACATCACCTGACGCTGAATGATTGTGGCCCTACTCAGTTCTCCACCTGGCACTCAGTGTTTCGTCAGGACTCTGCTAGCGTCATTCGTCAGCTGGAGTCAATATTCTTCGAACGAGGACCACCGACTGAGCAGGAAAGCATTCAGAAAATTCGCAGAAGGGTGGGACGTCCGCCTGCGCTTTCGATTTGCTCACTTCCCAGACAGCAATAGCATAGTGGAAAGGTGCCATCGCACCATCAAGCGCATTGTCACCAGAAAGCAGTGTTCTTTGGAGGAAACGGTGTATCTCTAAAGTACAAAGTCGAAGGACGATACATCGGCCTCCACAACCCCGGAAAATGGAATCTACACCTACCAGGTACGGGTAAAAGGGATACGCGCTGCATCTCCACCAGCATGCGTGGAGAATGCAACCTACAAAATTGGAGATGTAGTGTGGGTGAAGGTCCCGCGCACCATTTGAACGTCCAAATTTGGAAAGCGGGTAGTGTTTGACACCACTGTCTACGCTCAGTTCTGGTCAACGTGATGCTGCGCCATATTAGGGACCTTCACCTCGTCAGGGGTATTAACAATGGCGGGAGCGCGAAGACAGCGAGTCATCAGAACCAGGAATCGTAGTAGAACGCAAGGATTCCACAGAAACGCCCAGTGACACGACAGATGATGATAACCTATCCAGAGACGGATGAAGAGACTTCCCTTGTTCGAATTACCTCAACCAATGTTCCTCTCGCGCTAAACGCAGAAACCTCTTCGGTTCTGCTATGGAGAAGCACAAGACAGAAGCGACCGCCTCCACTTCACACCCGGGCTGTCACCTGTGTGATCAGGGGAGGTGTAGTAACGAAGAGCATGGCTTACCTAGTACAAAGCGTGTTCGAGTTACCGCAGCTGTAGTAGGAAATCCGGTGTGAGGCCTACGGGCGTGCGTGTGCAATGACCGTCATTTTATGTGATGGACATCGCATCTATGCAAATTTATTAACACCTGGCTCATACTATATAAGCGGGTACATTGCTTGCTAGCGGGGACAGGGAACTCTGAAGACGACGCTGTTGGTGTCTAGTACCGTTGACAAAGCGCTAAAGAAGACGTAGGCAGAAGACTCTTTACATGTTACACACCTACATTTTTTTAAAACACCTTTTACTTTCTTTATGTCTCTCCTTTCACATCTAAGACAAGATAAAGCAATGAATGAAATAGTATTACTGGAGAGTGTCTTCTCGTTCTGGTCTCTGACAACAGGAAGTCGAAATTAAGACCAGGAGAAAGAAAGCGGAACTTTATTTGGTTTGGTTTGTTGTACGGCAAATCAACCTCAATGGGTTATTTAATGCCGACAAAATTTTTAATTTCTGTTAATGTTTTTCTTCAAAAATCTATTTCTGGAAATATTTTTCCTTGAAGAAATCTATAGCTGGTCATATTTTTCCAAAGAATGTATAGCTGTTTGTACTTCTGTTTTTTTTTGTTTTGTTTTGTTTTTTTTTGTTGTTTTTTTTTTAAAGTATTGCTGATAATAATTTTTCCTTAAAAAATTATTGCTTTGTATTTCTGGTATTAAAACCTATTTTTACACAAATGTGGGTGTTAACTATGTGCCCCTAGCTGGGACCCTAACAGGTGCTACCACCCCGGGTCGGGGTGAACCTGGGAACACCAGCAATTAAGAGGTGGTTTCACGCTCCTCAAAGTCTCCTGATCAGAGGCCTTGCTGTTGGACGTAGTTTATCGTCATAACCAGGACGTTTATTTATTTGGGCTAACCTAAAAAAATGGTTTTAGAACCAGTGTCTGAGTTTTTAGTTCTACAAGCCTTCCTACTGTTCACGGTCGTATTCGTTTCGTGTTTTAAGACTAAGAGTTTCTCTCTCAGTAGACACAAAGAAAAAAAACAAAAGTACTTTGTACACGCTTCGATTGACGCCATAAAAATGCATGGGCATTTAACACGCATCCACCAATTCAGACGGGCATAGCCAGGAAAAAAAGTTCTTAGCGTATTTAAAAGGTAAAGTTAAAACCAAGCAGGCTGTACGTTACAAAACCACTTTATCTATAGCAGAAATCACTGTAAAAAAACAATCAAGCAGTTCAGTTGAACATATTACCTTGGCTCAAAACAAGTCATTCTTCAACAAACATGGACTTTTGTGTCCGCAAAAACATGGAGTGTCAAAGGTCGGGTTTTCTCATGACACCGCCATTATTTTAACTACATCGAAACCTCGGCAAAAAGCGATGATTAGAATGGTAATAAAGCTTAAACATATGCAATATATATGAATATATGTGAATTTATACGTTTTCGTTACTCTTTAGAATTGACAGCAAAATAATAAATATTATTTATTAGATTGTTTATTTATACTATTTATTTATTATATTATTTATTGGAATGATTGGCAAAACATCGGCTGAATGCCAGTCGAATCAAACTTTATAAAATGATAAATAATAAGGATTTACATTAAGGTGGTTCACAAATAATAATTTAGAAAATGTTTGTAAATTTATGAATACATTTTTTTTCAAAAAATAATTTTCATATTTCTTTCTTTATACATTGGTAAATGATAAATATTGCATTAGTCCTAATTACATTAGTTTTAGAATGTTGTAAATATAAAATTAGGCTTGTAAATCAACAAACTAATAAATAAAGAATCTTTAATATTTTTGTTATAAATTCTCAAAAACAAAAAAAAATGTATGAATCCACCTTCTTCATATATAGGGTGACCCTAAAACAACGGGAACTTTTAACAATCCAATAAAACCAAGAGTGATGAAAGAAAAATATTTTATTCATAGAAATTGAAACCTTAAAACATGCCATTTAAGAAACAATGATGGAATTTTCATTTATTAAAAATTACGTCCTGTAGATGGCGTCCTCCTGTACGAATGCATTCTTGAAATCTGCTGTTGAGATTCCTCATTGACTGCTGCAACATCTCAACTGAATACTGTGAATTTCATCTTGAATTCTCTGTTTTAACTCATCCAGAGTTCTTGGTCGAGATGTTAAACATGAGGTATCCAGCAGATTTCAAGAATGTTGTACAGGAGGATGCCATCTACAGGACGTAATTTTTAATAAATGAAAATTCCATCATTGTTTCTTAAATGGCATGTTTTAAGGTTTCAAATACCATGAATAAAATTTTTCTTCCATCACTCTTGGTTTTATTGGATTGTTAAAAAGTTCCCGTTTTTTGGAAGGTCACCCTGTATGTAGGTTTATTACAATTCTAATCATCGATTTTTTTTAAAAGCAACATTGCTGATGATTAGTTAAAATAATAAGCGGCGTATGGGAAAAACAGTCCATTTGACATTCTGTTTCTTTTACGGATACGACGGTCCATGTTTGCCCATTCTTCTTTAGCCGCTTAATGTGATTAATATGCTTAATTCGTAGCAAATAAAACACAGATATGGCACAAGACAATTTTTCTTTAATGGCTACTCATTCTGGCTTTGGGAAATAGAATTCTAATTGGATTTATGATGAAAATTGAAGCGAAATATATTACTACAGTGTCGCTAGCAAGCACAGGAAGGAAACTACAGGAACTCCTGCAAAAGGTAATGAAGGAAAGCGAGAAGAAATGGGCGAATTGTAAGAAGACAAAACGTATGGTTGACAGCAAAAGGGACAGACCAACATGCGAATTACAAATTGGGGATAACAAAAACAAGCAAATACAAAAACAAATGTAAATATCTTGAAAAGTGTTTTAACAGAGGTCGGAAGGTGCGATACCGAAATACGAAAGCCCATTGGGATAACGAAAGATGCCTTCCAAAAGCTAAGTAATTATATATCATAAAACGGGAAAATTTAGTTAGATATAAAGAAAAGAGTACTGAATTGCTATGTAATATTGGTTTTCTTGTATAGCAGAGAATGCTGGAAATCACCTCACAAATGAAGAAGATACTTGAAGCAACAGAAATGTAGTTCTACAGAAGGATGCTGAGAATACCATAGACTGAACACGCGAGCAACGACAAAGTTTTAGAGAAAATGGAAACAAAAAAAAACAATTATCAGAGCGAGACAATTGAAATTTCTAAGACAGCTAGCGAGAAAAGGGGGCTTAGAAAATTTAATACTCACAGGACAAATTGAAATCAAGAAGGACAGAAGAAAATGACACACAAGCTACCTAACGAGTTTGTGTAGATGGTTGGCTGAACAGGGTTTAGGAGAGATAACAAAAATACAAAATTTGTTAAGAGCTATAAAGGACAAGAAACTGTGGAGAACCATGATCGCCAACGTCCTGAAGGGTATTTTTTGGTTGTTGATTTAATCGTTTTCTATGGCTTATCAGCTATTTTCAAGTTATTTAAAGCCATAAAATATTTTAGATTGTAAGAATTTGCGGAGGTGTGAGATAATAATTGTTTAGTGATACAAGTCTTACTAATTAACCCATAGCAGATGGAGAAGTGGTGGATTAATATCTTTCCTAAAGGTATTTTCTCGGAAGTGGAATATAACGAACCATTATGCATTACACTACCCGCATATGGAATCGCCTGGCATTTCCGAGCGGTCACCTATCTAGCTACTTACCAGACTCGACATTGCTTAAACTTCAGTGATTGTACGGGGACCGCTGTTTCAACGTGATATGGTTGTAACCCCGTCCTGAAAGAATACGACACAGAGAAAAAAAAAGAGGAGAGCCTATTCTGAAAGGCTGATATCTCAACTGGTATTTGAGTAAGTTGAATACAGCTTGATGGAACTTTTTTGTTTTTATTAGAGAAGACCATTTTACTAATTAGCTACTTCAATAATTAAATGCGTTAGATTTCTTAAGGGAACATTTTATAGTACATGAAATAATGGTAGTTAAAAAGAGTAAATGCACAAAATAAAAGACCAATTGGTTTGCAATGCGTGATAACATTTATTAGACAAATTAACAAAAGGAAAGTTTAGACACAACGAAATGTTTAATAATACATTATAGTCGGAACTTTGTTGATGTGTTTTATGTGTGTAGCGTTCACAGCCCTTTTTGCAACAGTCTAGAAAGTTCATAACATCAAACCTTGAAGAAAGAAAGTTGCTTTAGGTTTCGCATGTTTTTATATTCGAGAGCTGCTGCTGATATGAATTTTATTTTAGAGCTGCTGTTGCTACTATGTTTGAGGTGACTACATCATGTCTTAAAGAATTCAAGTCGCTATAAAAGCCTGGACAGAATCAACAAAACTTGAACTTTTTTTTTTGATTCGATAACGTTTTCTTCAACATACTTCATTCCATATTTTTCCTCAACTGGAGCTAGAAAAAATGACATTAAATAGTATAATTTCTTTGAAGAGTGTTTAATGAGGCGAGAATGTTTAGTTAATACCAATAACTACATTTTTTTTCCCCACTGCATTTTTTTTTTTTCGATTGTGCAATTATCCTTCGCATTTTCTTCAAGAATTTCTGGTTTTATTTCCTTGTATATTTCAGTTAATTCATTCGTTCTTACAGTTACTTATTTTTCTTCTCATCCTTATTTATTCAGTTTTCTCTCTTTTACATCTCCTGTTCGTCTTTCTTCATCTTGCTTATTTTTATTTTTGGCTTTCTTCTTTCTCTCACGTCTTTCATTTTTTCCCCCTTTTTTCTTCTAAGTTTGTATTCTTTCTTTTTTTAAATCTTTTTTTTTCTTTTTTATCACCTTTATCCTTTTCGTTCTCAATCCAGTGCTTATTTTTGTCCCTTTATTTTTTTCTTAGCTCTCTTTTTTTTTCTCTTCTCTTCATCTCCTTTCTTTTCTCCTTTTAAGCACCATCTTTTTAACTCATGGCATTTTGTACCTTCTTGTTTTTTGTTTTTTTTTTCATTTTGGGCTTTCTTCTTATTCATATCGTTAATTTCATTTTTCTTCTTCTTCATCACTTAAACCTTATCTTTTCTTTTTTATTTCTTTTTTATAGTTCTTATCCTGTACTTTCTCTTTCTTGCTTATCTTTCTCCTTTTCCTTATCTCCATTTCTTTGATTTGCTCCCTTCTTCACCTTATTTTAGCCCATGAAATCATTTTATTGTCTCTTTATCTGCATCTTCTTTCCCCCTTCTCTTTTTCCTTCTCTTTCTCCTTTTTTATTCTCTTACTCCTTTCCTTTTTCTTCTTTATCTTTCTTTTATTTCTTCTTCTTATCCTTATTCTTTTTATGCTCGTTAACCGTTTCCCCCCCTTTTTTTTTTCGTTTTCTTTTCTTTGTTTTCATCTTTTGCATTTTCTTCTTGAAATAAATGCAATAAAAGGTATTTTTTTTTAATCATGCCGAGCAATGATAAGATTACGAATCAATAGAGTTCACCATTTCGCCTACGCCTCTTAAAGAATAGGATTTTTTAAAATCCTTTCTCCTTCATTGAGCATTGACAGGAGATGATGAAACGATCTGGTCCGCAACCAGAATTTATGACTGATTCCTCCATTTATTTAACTTTAATTATTGTTTAATTTTTCACACTTTTAAATTTTGATTTATTCCTTCAGTTTTGCAAGTTAATAAAATGAATTATGATTGCATAACGCCAGCAATGACGTACGGACGGGAAACTAACAAAATCAATTTCAAACAAAACTTAGAAACACAAAGGGACACTGCTAAGGATAATGCAAAGAAATAAGAAAAGAACCCGAGAACAAACTATGAGATATAGAAATAATTAAACGATATAATGGATGTGGGTGGGACACAGCAAGAAGAAAGAATAACAGAGGGAGCATGAGGTTGGTCGGTGCCTAATAAATAACAAATTCATTTGGAAGCCGCCAAACAAAAGACAGATGAGATAAAAAAAATGTTTGCAATTGAAACATTTCCGTAGATAGATTCTCGGTTATTATAGAAGCAGTTGGGAAAAGTCTTTATCCGGTTGTGGACTCACAATGGAAAATGATTATATGATTGAGTTAATTGGGTTGCTTTAATGTTAATTGCATTCAACTTTATTTTCGTGTGTTTTAAGAAGAAACAATGATGAACGATTCGTGGGCTCTGCATAATTACATAACCTAGTTATATAATTACGAAGAGCCCACAAATATTTCCTCATTGTTTCATCTTGAATTCCCTTTTTAGAAACTTTTTGGCTTCCATATATTTTAATCTTCTTCCTTGTCCTATTTTTTCTATCTCTTCTTCGTCTTTCTCTTCTTTCTTTGTTTTTATTTCTTTTCTTCTTTCTCTCTTTTCCTATCTTTTTGGGGTTTTTTTTATCCTTTCTCCCCTTTCCTTCCCTCGTCCTCTTTCTCTTGTAGCCTGTCTCCTCTTTCGTTTGTCTTGCATTTTTCTTCTTTCTTAATAAATACACTTATTACTCTCTCCACTCACATACATTCTTCTTTTCGTCCTTATTCACGTCGTTTTACTTTCTTTTTTCACTCCTCTTCCTTTTCTTTTCCGTCTTCTTTTTCTTTCCAGCTTGATTTTTATTCGTTACTTTTCACCATCCTTTTCTTCATTCTGCGTCCTGGTTAAGACAATAAACTACGTCCAACAGCAAGGCCTCTGATCAGGAGGCTTTGAGGAGCGTGGAACCACCTCTTAATTGCTGACCCGGGATGGTAGCACCATGGGCAAATAGTTAACCCCCAAACTGGGGTCAAAATACTGTGAAAGTGTAAAAATGGGTTTTAATACCAGAAATACTCCGTAAGAAAAATATTACCAGCGAATCATATTTGAAGGAATATTATTACCAGAAATAGTTTTGAAAAAAAATATTACTAACAATAAAAATTTTGTCGGCATTAAATAACTCATTCAGGTTGACATGCCGTAAACCAAACCAAACCAAACCAAACCTCCCCTTCATTCTCTTTTCCCCGTCAGTTTTTTTCTTCTCTTTTCTCTTCTTATCACTATCCTTATTCATCGACTTTTCTCATTCTTCCATTCCCATTTTTTCTTTTTTCCTCCTCTTTTTCCCCATTCTTTATTTCTTTACTTATCACCATTTTCCCCTTTTTTTTCCTCACCACACTTTCTTTTTCGTTCTCTTTCCCTTCTCACCCTTATCAGCTTCTTTCTTTTCCTTCTCCTTTTTGTCATCCATTTTTATTCTTCCTTTCTCTTTTTTATTATATCAACAAAACTTTCCTTTCTTATTGGTCTTTTTATTTCATCGTTCTTTTCTTTATTTTTTCTTTACTCATAATTTTTTCATCTCATCTTTTTCTTTATTTTTATCTCATTTAAATTTTTACTACTCATCTTTTCCTTCTTACATCGTTTTTTTTTTTTTTTCTTCATTTAGCCATTATTCTTCACTTCCTTCTATTTTTCTTCTTTCAATCTTGTTTTTTTTTCTTTCTATCCTCCTCTTCTAGCTTTCTTATTTTTCATCGCCCTCCTGATTTCTTCTTTTATTTTCAAATAATTCACTTATAGTGTTCCTCCTTTTCCGATTTGCAATCCGTTTTTCTTCGTCTTCCTTCTTTTCCGATTTCCACTTCTTTTTTTTTTTCTTCGTCTTCATTTTTTTCCAATTGGCACTTTCTCTTTTCTTCCCTGTCCCTCCTTCCTTTGGTGTTTCCACCAAAAGAAATCAATAAAATTCAACATCCCAATGATATTCTTTTTTTTTTTTCATTTCTTTATTAGAACTTTTTGTTGTTTTTTGTTTTGGTTGTTTTTTTTTTTCCTCTCTTTCCTTGATTTGTTTCGCCTGTCATTGAGAAACCTTAACTCTCTCCAAATCAGCAAGGTCAACCATTTCGACTGATTTTTTTTTTATTCACGACAATTATACTCGGCTTACTGTAAAACACAATGGCAGTGACATCTGAATTGGTCGTCGTAATCCTACCAGTCAATAGAGACTAAAGTTGCATGAAGTAGTCTTTAGATCTGAAGACAATGGTTCATTATACCGAAATTACTTTAAGCACTAGCTGATGATTCACAGGTACACTTGTCAATTCTGGTTTATTCAGACCTTCGCAAATGCACCAAAATATAAGACCTTTTCCCCACTGTAAAGGCAAGCGCGCGGGGCTTTGGGAGTTTTGAAAATTCTGTTATACTTTCATGTTTGTATGAATGATAATGTTGATGCTACTAATATTTGGCAAATAGATAAAGTATATCTATATATTTCAGAGATGAGGTATTATGATTATTTACATTATTCGGGCTGTTATTCTAATCTTCATTACCATATTCACAATGTTTCGGTCGTTGTACGCTCCGGCCTTCTTCAGGTGATTGAAATTTCGAACCGAACCCTTTATTTCGTCCACCAGGGTAGATTGTTTATTTATGTATCAGTTATTTCCAAGTTTTCGTTCACTACTCCTGGTATTGGACTCACAACTCTTTGGGCAATGAAGATGAGGATAACAATCCGAATAATGCAAGTAGATAAAGTCTCTTCTACGGTTAACATTCAAACAACCTTTTTTTTTCTTGCATTGTCGTAAAATTGGGTTATCCTGCCCTAACCCCGAATAAGTACAACCATTGTCAAGATAAAATATAATAGAAATCTTCAGTTTCTTCTTGAACAATTAGATGAACGCAAGCAGAATCTATATCAATGGCGCCACTGGGCGCCTAATATAGTTTAATGGTTCGACCGTTCGTATGCGTAATCAGTTCAAATTGCAACAATGTTCCTCCCTCTTGCAAAATTAAACTAAGTACAGTAATATGACAAATATATATGCGGAGTTTTAATTGCTCAGAAAATATCTATATATAATCACAGATAGATAATGTGAAAAAATAGAAAAGATGTTCAGACAATGCGTTTCGTCTCTTTATGGCAGACTTCTTGAGGTCGAAATGTGAGCGAAATCCATGTGTAAGTTTGAATTTTGAGGGAGAAGTATCCAACGAAGTGTCCTCACACGGGTTTGTCTCTTATTCAGACCTGAAAACGTCTGCCATACATAGCATTTCTACTTTGTCACAATATCTCCAGTTTTGTTTGTATTTCAGTGACACAATAAATCGTAAGCAATGCGTAGAAAGGAAACTTGAAATGGAAATTGAAAGACAGTAAAAAAATAAACGTAAACATTGAAAACATAATTTTAGTGCCAACAGACTTAAAAAACAAATATATATTTCAGTGTGGAGAGAGAGAGCGAGAGCTAAAGACGCTTGGTCACATCATTGCCGGCGTTGTGCAAGTCCGCAAGGACAAAAGGAAGGGAGGTTATTTACTCGCCTTCCCTCACATACTGTGGCAAGATTTGACACGGGGTCTTTTTGGTGATACTATAGTATTTGGTCTGTTTCATTTACTATTATAGTATACGGTCTACGGCACTATGAACTATACTGTGACATCACCCCACCTCTCGTGCCGTCTACCACAATGAATTCAACCATCACTTCACCTCTCGTGTATCCTGTCCACATAAAAGGAAGGAAATGAAGCTCCCACATCAGAATCCCCCGAGGTCTGAAACTGTTAACATCAACTGGTTAACTTCCTTCAGATTAAAATGTTGCTGAAAGATTTTTATAGACGTGTCAAGGACACATGGCACAGTTAGATTCAGTTACATTATTCGGACTATTGTCCTCATCTTTGTCGCCATATTTATTACAATGTTTCGGCCGTTTCAAGGACACATGGCATAGTGGATAAAGGTGTTAGTTAGATTCAGTGACAGGACCCAAAGTGTGTGAGTTCGATAACCGGTTAAGGCAGTGGAGAACTTTCAGAGGGGAATTAATAGGAGATAACTGACATACATTAAACATGGCACGTGGAACTAGAACAGTCTACCCCATTGAGCGAAATAAAAGGTTCAGTTTGACACTCCAACTACCTTTCACGTTATTTTTACGGACTCTAAATTTGAGGTATATGCTTCCCCCTCACACACACACCGGCTTCGGCTGAGGTAGTTTTTTTTTTTATATATTTTTAGTTTAATACTTTCACCCCAAGTAAAGCGACAATATCACTATCACGCTGAGGGCTGCAGGGAATGAAAGAAAAACTAAAGACTGAAAATGGGGAGGATTGAGGAAAGGACAAAAAAAATGATCCCAGAAGAAGGCGATTGACGTTGAATTTAATTTTTTTGAAAATTGTAGTTATCAGGGAAGCAAGAAATCGGAAGGGAGTTCCACAAGTGGGAAGTGCGAGAAAAAACACTTTTAGAACAGAAGTGGATATTCGCATCTAGGTCAACAGTAAAACGGTGAGACTTCGTTACCAATCTAGTAGCACGCTTAAATTTATGTAGTCCAGGAAACAAGGGAAAAAATATCATCCATGCAGTTGCCATAAAAATAGAAAAGACAGAGGGAAGACGTCACGTCGGTGAGAAACAGTGCCAGAGAGAACACAGTGCCAGAAACGTTGTGATAGCAACAACAAAGATGAGGGCAACAGTCTATGTGTAAATAAATAACTCTTGATTCCCGAAATTCAGACCGAAAATGCTTCATCTCAAAACAATTTTGGATTGTGCATATAACTCTATGTAAGGGGCTTTAAAATGAACTGAAGCTAAATGTGTTTGTATTATTTTAGTTGTAGTATCTGAAGGAACATCAGCAAATTAATTTAAAAGGTCGTCTTTTTATTGTTTAATACCTTTGTGAGTACAGCGGCTTGGAAAAAACTTCATAAAAGGATTTGAACGGCGTTCAAGGGGCAGTAAAAACCTAAAGCAATGAAGAACAGCTTCGTTCTGGAGAGTCGAAGTCGGGATAATAGCATATACATGATTCGAAATTCGATAGGAGGTTTATTGTAAATATTCCAATTCTTCCCCGAAGCTCAACTGTTCGACCGATGCCATCAGCAAACGTCCTGATCCTTTCTAGACGGTCAGGTTTCTTTTTAAAATTGATTTCATAGTCAAGAAGAGAAGGTAGCTTCGTTTCGACAAGCCGTAGATAATAAAAAAACGTACCCATATAATAGTGAAACAACTGACAGTGAATTTTATAGTCTTTTCTCATTATAATATGCTCATTTTGCGAGAATTGCCAAAAACTTTTCAATTATTAAATTTTATCTCTACTGTGGAATGAGACAACGTGGGCATCCTTCGCTACCTGACACAATAGTACCAATTCTATTGTGCGTATATGTATTCATAGGAATAGGTGCCTGTAGTGACCTAATCATGTCTGGTTTTGTGTTCATTTTTGGACCAGTGTATTTCATTTCCAGATTCTACAGAAGCGACATTTGTCATTTACTAGTCTTATCTATTTGGAGATTTCATTTATTCTAATATATTTATATTCGGTTGCTGCTAACATTGATTCAATTTCTCGTTTCAAATCTCGTTTGTACATCCATGCCAAGGTCATATTTCATCTCTTCATTATTTTCCCTCCTATTTTTGGCTTCTGTTTCTGCTGTGTTGTGGTCATTAATATTATTGTATTCATTGAGTTTTCACAGCATACAAGTAATAATAACTGATTTTTTTTTCTGAAAATTAAGTCACCGCAAAGGTGTTTATCTTTTTGACTTCAGTGCAAAACCAAAACTATGTATAAATTGATGAATAATGTAACTGAATATTTATCTACGTTTTTCATTCTAGCATAAACAGGACCTATGTCATCCTTTTCGAATTTAGTAGAAACCGAACCTATATCTATCTATCTGACTGTAGTATACACCGGGATGGAAAGCGACTCGGATTGAGGACTCGGAGAGCCGAGTTCGAATTCCAGTCGAATCCATTACATTCACTTACGTGCTAATACCCTTGGGAAAAGCATGAATCTTCTTCTCTTCCCCCAGCTATGGGTAAATAGCTGGAGAGACCGAATCCTATAGCTTTGGATGGCAACTAGTCTACCGCAGAAAAAAATGGCAACCTACTGCGGGAAAAAAATCTGCAACGTCAGTCATGTATCGAAAGATGCATGATCGCCTACGTGTGTATCACGCATGGCACATAACTGTACAATTTGACCATGTCTACCTTTTTTGTTCTCTAGTGGGTACATGATTCATGTTTACATTTTTTAATCTAGCATACACCAGATCCATGTCTACCTTTTTTTTTTTACTCTAGTGTGTACCTGACCCATGTATACTGTTTTGACGCTATTCTACGTTGGGCCCATATCTACCTTTTTATCCTAGTGCACACCGGATCCATGCCAACTGTTTTGGTTCTGGTGTACACCAACCCGTGTCTACCTTATTGACCTTAGTGTACACATGTCTACCTTATTGACCCTAGTATGCACCAGCCTATACCATCATTTTGATTTACCTATAGCTACCTTTACATTAATTCATTGCAATTCTTTCTTTATATACTTTGTCTTTGTTCTCCTTACATTACATATTAAAAAACGCCAAGGATTTCATATAAACCGAGTCTATATATACCTTTTTGACTGTAGTGTACACCAGAACATTGTCTACTTTTTTCTCTATTGTACACCAGACCCATGTCTACCTTTTTTGACACTAAGTACACCAGAATCAAATCTACTGTTTTGTCCCTAGGGTACACCAGAACATTGTCTACCGTTTGGGCTCTAGTGTATACCAAACACAGATTTTTTTTTGCCTTAGTTTACACTGG